CTACCTACCTACCTACTCTCTCTCTCTCCCTACCTACTGTATTTCTCTCTCTCTGTCCCTCTATTTACCTACCTACTCACTCTCTCCCTACCTACCTACTGTATTTCTCTCTCTCTCTTTCTCTATCCCTCTATCTACCGACCGACCTACCTACTCACTCTCTCTCTCTCTCTCTCTCCCTACCAACTGTATTACTCTCTCTCTATCCCTTTACCTACCTACCTACCTACCTCCCTACCTAACTCCCTACTCTCTCTACCTACCTAACTACTGTATTTCTCTCTCTCTCTCTATCCCTCTATCTACCTACCTATCTATTCTCTCTCTACCTACCTACCTGTATTTCTCTCTCTCTCCCTCTATCTACCTACCTACTTTTTAAAAAATTTGCATCTTTAAAACCTTGGTGCATCTTATACTCCGGTGTGTCTTATACTCAGAAAAATACGGTAATCAATTCCAGGAGTATACCTCAAATCCTCACAATTTCAAATCCTTAATATTTTAAATTCACAATATAATTTAACACACTATTAATGTTAATAATACAATTAAATTACCTAATCCTAAATTTCCATATACTAGTTTAATTTATTTTATATATATACTACTATTTTCCTTATTAGTATTTTTCCATTTTATTAATATATTTACTCATTATCCATCATCTCTTAACCTTTTTAAAATCCCATCATTTATTGACTTTTTAGTCCCCGTAAAGAATCTTTCTTTTTGGGGGGGAATTTTTCTTTTTTCTCTTTGTTCTATTATAAGCTTTTAAGAAGTTATCTGACTGATTCCTACTTTTTAATCTTTTTCTCTTCTTTATATTTAGCTTCTTGCATCTCATTTTGATTTTTCTCTTCCACAGCTTCTTCTAATTTCTCATCTATTTCTTGGATATCATGTTTCTCTTTCCCTTTGAATTGTTGAGTGACTTCTACATTCATTTCTGTGTCTTTAAACAATTCCCTTATCTCCTTATTCTTTCTAGATTCACTCACACTTTTAACATCAATATATACTTCATATTCCTTTATCATCCCCCTGTAAATCCATTTTATAACAACTTAATGAAAATTATTCAGTATATTTCTATAATTCCAATATCTCAATATTTTAAAGCTCCTTTTATAATCTTTAAAATTCTTAAAATTATTTAGTAATTTACAACCTTATATTTTCCCAATTATATATCTTCCCAATTTTAAAGTCTTATTTAGTTTTCTTTCTTTTCTCTTTTATCATTTTTCTTCTTTTGACTCATAGAGTGTTCTGCTGAATAACATTAATAGTCCAAATCCAAGTTAACCCTCTAGATTTTTTTGATTTTTCAAATCCAATCTTCCAAATCCATAACCCAATAGCCAATTTTAATAAAGTTTAGTTATTTGCAAATTAGTTCCTTTTAAAGATCTTCAGATGGGAAAGAGGAGGGAAAAAAGAAACCCATTAAACTCTCTCAAATTATGCAAGTCGTCTTCTAACAAAAAGTCAAGGCCAGGTGGTCTTCCTGATGTTATTACTTCTATTCTGTGTATTAGACTTTATGTGTATTGAATTCACTTTCACTAGGTATGCTGCGGCAATAGTGCTGTAGTACTTCTTCCCGTATTCTCAAATCCAACATTAAACAGTCACCGCTTTCTTAGGTGTAAGAGTTCTCTTTTAAAATTCTTGTATTTACATCAGTTCTTTAGAGTAAAAGTTGGTAATTATCTCACCCAGTTTCTGTGCTCTGTCCATGAACTGCTCCAGCACAAATCCCGGTTGTCCCAGCTTTGTGACTGCCAAAAATGGCCATCATCCCTGCTGCCGTTTGGGAGAGCTTGCTTCAGACCTAACAAGGAAATTGCAAGTCCCTTGTGGTCAGAAAAGTGCCTCTCTTTCTTTCACCACCTGTACAAGGTAGCTAGGGTCTCCCGGCAGCAGTTACTGGTTGGATTTCGCAAGGCTTGGCAGAGCCTGCTATTTTCCAGCTGTTCTTGCCACAATGTCAACTGGAAGTCCGCTGATAAGCAATGTAATGGGCCAAAGTTCAGCATCTGGAAGGCAATAGGTTTTATTTTATCATATTAAAAGAAGGGGGGAATAACTCATAACATGAGTTATTTTATAAAACAACCAGGTAAAGTAACAACTAAAATCTTAACAAATGCGTAATATACATTTTAGTTGTAGTGTTGCATACGTTTCTGCAAAATGGAGCAGTTTGCTCTAGAATATTCAGATTTTTCATTCATTTCTGAAAGTATCCCTTTTAGAACAGGAACAGTTGATCCTTCAGATAAAATGAATGCTGCTTTCTGCCTTTGCCATACAATTTCATAAATTGTACCTTGTCAAAAGTTATAGACAATGTTGATATTTATTACCTTCAGCTTTAAAAAATAGGGTTGTAGGTGAAATTAAAGGACATAATCATAAAGTAACACAGTGTTTAGGGATAAATCTTATTTTTGTCACAATTAAAAGAAAGCGGACCAAAAAGCTACTATTCTTCTTAACTACAGCTGAAGGCAGAATATACTAATTGGTCCAGAAAAAGTTCAAAAAGCTTTTGTAGATTTATTGAAAGCTTAATCAAAGGACTTTCTGAATAAGCTAGTATTTGAATCTCTACTTTATCTACTGCAGCTGTGGTAAAAAGAAAAAAATGTTTTTAATAAAGAATTCACTTCAATGTATTGGAACAATAGATTAAATATAGCTGTGATTAGGGTATTATTTGGAAGGAATAAATTTAAAAGTAGAAGCAATCAATCTTCTCCCTGCTCCAGCGTAGGACTAAAAGAAATTGTTTATTGAAAGCTTAATCAGGTTTTCATATCAAAATGATCAAGGAAGAAGTAGGCTGAAGCTGCTCATGTTTCTACAGTTTACTCTGTGTTGTACCTGGTTTTGCCTTCATTTGTCAATGGATCTCTACATATTGGCATTTTAATGTATCTAAACTCCTGGTAAAACAATCAGTGCTTTGAATAATAAAAATTAGAAACATTCTTCTAATGTTTTGAAGTCAACTACAGACAAGATGCTAGTCTTTTTAGCACAATTATCCAATCTCAAAATGCATACTGCTTTTTACATCTGTTAGAGAATGTCCATAATTGATTGAGGTCAACGTATAGAAAAATGTGTGACATTTACTTTCTTCTGTTAAGTTTGCTTCACTGGGGACAAACAAGATACTGGTATCTTGTTATACTATTGTGATATTATTATATCTACCTTATTATTTCCAACAACTCCAACATCTTGCATTATTATTGTTACTGTTATTATTTTATTCACAGGATGGAGGGCTTCTTATAAATAATCCTACAGCATTAGCAGTGCATGAATGCAGATGTCTTTGGCCAAATGTTCCTCTTCAGTGTGTGGTGTCCCTAGGAACGGGTCGGTATGAAAACCATGGAAAAACCAATGTCACTTATACAAGTTTAAAAGCTAAATTGACTAATGTCATCAGCAGTGCTACAGATACTGAAGGTTAGTTTCGGGTGATCATAGTTGTCTTGTTTTCGTAGTACAATTTTTAACTGCTTTCTTGAACTAAAAACATGAAAAGACATTTTGGTTCTGTTTTGTAAGCTACATTCAATTGTTTTATTAATTCCATCTCTCAACATCTATAGAATTAAGTGTTTAAATCATATACAAAGCTAACCTCTTTCAAAGTAATGAATATTAATTTTAAAAAAAAATCATTTGAAGATTTGGCCTTTTTGCTTTTGTCCAATTAATATCTTGTATTAGCTACTTAGAAAATTGAGATTGAATGGGCAGTTGATGACAATGATTGCCAGATTTTCAGTTAAATTAGCTACTTGAGATTGCCTATACCTCAGTTTTGCCATTATTAAATCTCTGTTGATAAAAGTAGGTCTTTGTTAATGATAGGCATAATGTAGGGATAGAAAGCTCCATCTTCAAGGTTACTGGACATGTGAACAATGCTAGAATAAGCATTTTAATAATTAAGGAAAAACTGTTAATCGTTAAATTATTTAATAGTTAATAGTGAACCTATTTGCATAATAACAATGCAAAATGTAGAATGACCATTTTACCATGTGTCACATGAGTGTTTCAATAATGTAGAAATAAATATTCAATCCAAATTTGAATTACTGTATAAATTCTATATAATTCTTTCTTTATCTTCTTTGATTTATTCTAACTAGGAGTTCACATGCCAAATTAATCCTAAAATTCTTGAACTAGTTGACATAAGAATTTGCTTTTGCATAGATCAAAGTAGCTTGCTTCAAAGAAAACCTGTTAACGAGCCAGCTTCAACACACCACTGGAAGGAAGGGTTATAATTGTCCTCTCAAATCCCATTGTTGCTTTTTACTTTTTAAAAAAACCTGACATTTTACAGAGATGTTTTGTAGAGATTTGCTAACTTTGATTTATCAACTTATATGTATCAAGGCTATTATTTCTGAGATTATTTTTGGTTCTAGGTCACACTTTAACTGACCAGGTGTTAATACAAAAGATGGTATACTTAAGGAAAATTAAGGTCTCATATTGAAAGTTGAATCCATAACAAAGGAGCGTTGGCTTACCTGAATGGTCTTCTCTGTGCGCTGTGGGAGAGTCCAAGCATGGGTTAATTCTGACTGCCCTGGACTGAATTGAAAGATCTTTAGCCACGCCTCTGCTGCTGACACCTCAGATTTTTCTATGTCGGCGTGGACCTATAGGTCTGTTCAACCGTGGTTCCATTGTATATGTCACTAAGTCAAGAATAGTTCACATCAATGATACTGGAAGCAGTGAGAAACCAGGGCGGGGTCGAAGTCTCCCGCAGCGCACAGAGAAGACCGTTTAGGTAAGCCAACACTTCTTCTCCTGTGTGCTGCTTGGAGAGTCCAAGTATGGGACATACCCAAGCTAAATGTCACTAGGGCGGGGAGCAATCGATTCAATGGTCTCTCCAGTGAAATGAATACCCTGAAGGACTCGTCTCCCAAATGCCACTTCCACTGATGCAAACTTGTCCAATTTATAATTTCATACAAACTCAGATGGTGATGCCCACATTGCCTCTCTGCAGATTTCTTCTATGGTAGGATTGTTCAGGTACCCTGGATCAGGCAGGCGTTGCTTCACTCACTACCTGGATGTTACTGAGGACTGTATGGGAGCTCTTCAATGCAGAGCGAGAGCCGGGAAGAGTAGGCAGTGCTGGCAAACAAATATCCTTGTGGCATGAGCTTAATACCAGCGCCCTGCAGATGTCAGTAACAGGAGTATGGCCAAGGGAAGGTCACAAACTCTGCTGCCACACCAAGGAAGAAAGGCCCCTCTGCTGGCCTATGGAGACAACCTGCCGGAGGGCCGAACAAAGAAACTCCACGCAGCAATCTGAAATGCGGGAGTCAATTCAAAATGGCTGCCACATCCAAAAAGGTGAAAATAAAATGGCCACCACATTGGAAAAGCAGCCTGAGGTCTCGGCGCTCGACGCTTGATAGGGAAAAGTCGATAGCACAAGCGGCTGGATCCTCACACTACTAACCGCTGCGCTCAAACCTTGGTGCGATCATGAGGGAATTGGCACTCCGACCTGCTCGTGTCGCCTTTTGCCGCCCCGACAACCGTGCACCCCGAGCAGCACTCGGGACACGTCGGTGAGGAAATCAATGAGGAAAAGGGGAAAAAAACCGCTCACCAGATCTGCTCTCTACGAAAGGGAATGGAAAGGAACAGAAAGTGGTAGGTTGGAGAGTCCAAGTTAACTGCTAATTGCAGGAACCACATTGAAAAACGTCCACTGGGCTAGACTGAATTGTAAAATCTGAGGTGTCAGCAGCAGAGGCGTGGCTAAAGATCTTTCAATTCAGTCCAGGACAGTCAGACAGAATTAACCCATGTTTGGACTCTCCAAGCAGCGCACAGGAGAATGTCATTGATTCCAAAATGACACCATTCACACAATGACATCAACACATAATGTATATACTGTAATTACATATTTGTGTCAGCTTGTTCAGCGTTAATATGTAAGATAACGAGTTAATGTAATGACAACCTAACACCATTACCCTTTTGCTAATTCTTCATTGTTCCTGCGGACATTTGTATATGCTTATTTAATACTAGAATCTTAATAAAATGTCTGGATTTATACAAATTAATTTGAAACCTTATTCTTTAATACTTTATTTTAAACCAAATTCTTTCCCATTTCTCTTTTAAAACTAGAAGTTCATATTATGCTGGATGCCCTTTTACCTCCAGACACCTACTTTAGATTTAATCCGCTGATGAATGAAGATATTCCTCTGGATGAAAATCGTAAAGAAAAACTGAATAAATTGCAGACAGATGGCATCCAATATTTAGAAAGAAATGATGAGAAGTTGAAAAAAGCTGGCAAAATATTATCACAGGAAAAAAATATTTTACAGAAACTGAGTAACTGGATGAGATTAAAAGGTGATATGTATGATGGCCTTCCAATTCTGTCAAAATTGTGAATATTTAAAATGTTTCTCATCATAGGTGCAAAGTTGTATATGAAAAAGGTTCAACATTTGTTGATCATTATGTAATCATTTTTTTTAAATTCAATGAGCAAACAAGCTATATAAAATGCATTTCTATCTCAGTAGCTCCTCAGTAGCACACAGGATCTGAGAGTCCTACATGTAAGCAAAGGAAGGCCTTCCAGTCTATTTCTTCCTTGTCTCCCAGTCTGTAACCCTCACACTTAGTGTTTCTCAGGGTCCTTCAAGCCAATATTCAGCAGGACATGAATATGTAGATCAGTAATTAAGATCAATGCCAATGCTTTTTTTTCTATAAACAGAACACTTGTGAAATTTGGGATTTTATGATTTCTTGAAGTATATGAGTATTAGTTTTCAGAAACTCACATCATTACCACTTATATTCAAGTACTGGTATTTTTTTAAAAAAAATGATGTCTAAATTTGTGACAATTATGGTACAAAGCATTCAATATATTATGAATGCATATAAAAAATCATGCTGTTTACAAAATCATATTGTGCTTATGTGTTAATGGAAAATTACAGCATGAGAAGAATCATAGCAAATATGTTGCTTACAAATAATTGAGCCAGAATAAATCAAACAGTTTAATTCCCATTGAGATTAATGACAGTAAACAATTTTAAATCCATTGGGAGTAGTTCAGCTAGTTTGCTGATTGAATTACTATATATTATAGACTTGCAGAATATTATACTGCCATTAAATGTCATGAAAATTGTCTGATGATAAGATTTGTGCATGTAAACTGTTTTGTTTTAAAATGTTACCAGTGTTTTGTAGTGTGTAATGTTTTAACTGTTTTACTTTATCCAATTCAGTATTTGACATATTGCAATAAAATCCGTCACACTTAATATACATTTATTTTTCAAAAAAAAAATTGGGGGGGGGGGTTTCAGAGCAATTACTTTGCTGTTTGAAAAGCAAATCACTAGAACTGAGTCTTGTTTGAAATAAAATAAATATTGAAAGGTCCTCATTGATCTCATTGTGTGATTTTATTCATATAGTTATGTGAAATCATCATGCCAAATTATGTTTTCATATTTAATATATAACTTCATATACATGTTATTTAAGTCAGTAGCAAAGTAAGACTTCCCAGTGAGGAAAGTTTTTGGGCAAACTAATAGCATTTTCAGTTAATAAGGAAGCTATACACTAAATTTTGAAACTATGTTGGCAGTTGACAGTTTCAGAAAGACTTTGGGAACCCTTCCATTGTGTTTTGTAAAGCATAGCTTGTGGTTGAGATGTTAGTCATTTGTGGTTTGATAAACTATGTCTCAACTGTAATTTAGAGAAATATAAGAAACAAATAAATAATTTGTCTGTGATAAATGTTCCTCTGTGGTCAGTAGTGAACGAAGTCACAATTAGTTAGTCACTTTGCAAAATAATGCAAAATCAACTGAGTTCACAAAACCCACCCAGCTTATTCTTCTGAATGTTGTTGCTCTTTGTATGTTATTAGAAATTGGAACTTAGCAGTACTTCGTGGTTATAAATCAAAAAAAGAATACTGGGCTATGATGAAAGTACTGCAGGCTCAATTCCTGCCTGGTTATGTGTCACTTATTTAGATTAGTAGAAATGGAATCAAGAACACTAGGTGTGAAATATAATATGCAGCAATATTACATAATTCAGATGTTTTATATACTAATTCAATGAGCCCACAAAAAGTGCTGCTTCTAAAATACCTTACTTCTAAAAACATTGACTAAAGTGGAGAATCTGAACACAACTTCATTTGATCAGGGTTCTGCATCTTGTTTCAAGGCCAAGAGCCACTTAGCAAGCATCCTGATTGTTCATGCCTGATAGCTGGGCATATTTTCAAGAGGCACCCCCCCTCTCCCAGTCCAGGCAGGTATTTCCAGATTAGCCTGCTCCTCATTTATAAGGTCACTAATAAGAGGAATCTTGTTGACTGATCTGACATTAACCAGCAATCAAAAAATGTAGGCTCGATTGATCTGCTGAGTAGGGTTCAGCATAGCCGGAATGCATAACTGGTATTAAGCATTGGTGGCATCTTTCCTGTTTGAGACCTGCCCTTTGACTCCCATCAAAATGTCTCCTGGCCATCATCATGACGTGGATATGGCAACCCCTCCCCCCCATCTCCCAGAGATTATATTACCTCCTAGACCTGGCCTAATGGTTTCCCTACCTTGGGGGCCCTCCATCAAATCACATACACCCAGACACTTAACCTAAGAGTAGTGGAGCTCTCCAGACAGCTCCGCTTCTGACAGTACTAGCAATAGCATTTAGACTTATATACCACTTCATAATGCTTTACAACACTTTGATTGGTTTACAACATCAGCATATAGCCCCCAACAATCTGGGTCCTCATTTTACCTTGGAAGGATAGGTCAGTCCTGAGCTAGTCTTCTGGCAATGGACAGAATTAGCCTGCAATACTGTTTAACCACTGTGCCACCACAACTCCTATAAGGGGGTAAACTTCATTGTCCACTCCACTATATAGGGAACCTTTGGCTGTCAGTCCTTAACTGAAGCTGGGGTAGATCTGTCTACCAACTCCCATGTGGTCTTGGCACCACCCAGATATCTGCCATCTGACTACTCTTCATGATACTTGCAGCTGTGTAGCATTCACTCTGGCTGGCTAGTTGCCCCTTGTGTCAGTGGCCCAGCTCCTCCTGCCGTATGCCAATTGATCTCATCCCTTCAACTGGTCTTCTGGCCATCCTCTGGTCTGAGCTGCTCCCCGCTGAGCTGTGCAAACCACTGTTGTATCTGGATATGGCTCAGCTGTTGTGATGGATTCCTTGGATGCTGGCTCAGATGAGAAGTCGGCTTCAGGGCCATCGGAGGGGCAATGTCAAGGAATTGGAGCCTTAGATGGCTTCGGTGGGCACATTAGGGGAGCCAAGGTTGGAAACAGTAAAGATGGGCAATTAAGGTGAAATGACTCAGGAGGCACCAAGGACAACCAAGTTAGAGCCACCAGACAAGTGTTGGGCTGCATAGATTGGGAAGGAGATGCAGTTGCAACCGGTCAATGCTGACAAGGAGTTGCTGCCCCCACCTGATATACAATGTGCAGGACGAGGCTATGCCTAGTTCTGCCTTGTCTGCTTGTCATGGCTTTGTCTAGCCCAGCCATTGCTTTTTATTTCACTGTACTGCAGGCCTGTCAAACTGGCGGCCCACAGGCAGGATACGTCATGCACAGGCCACACCCATCCCAGCTCCACAAAGACAGAAAACGTTGTGATACGTCATGATCCGGCCCATGACGCGATCGAGTTTGATACGCATATTGTGATTGGGCACTTAATAACAGACTAGAATCTACTGGGTATAGATACTGGGTAAGTGTTAATGGAATTCTGCCCCCCCCCCCCCCCCGTAATGTTAACAATTGTTTTTTTGATTCAGTAGACTTCAATAGGAAAAACTGCAGTCGCTTCAGGAAGAGTTCTCCAAGCTACTGAAAATTAAACAGCATTGGACTTGGTTAGCCTAGAAGAGTTAAGTTATCCAGACCTAATAAGTTACCCAGATCTAATCCACATATCAAAGGATAAGGTCTGTAAACACAGACAGAGTTAAATTGGGTCTCCCAGAGCAGCTGCATGTTTATAAGAATAAACATACTTACACACACATACACACACACACACACACACAAACCCCTCAAGTGTCACTCTAGAATCAGCACGTGACACCCTGGACATGCTCTCCCTATAAAAATATACTGCTGCACCCTAATTTTTTGCAGCCTGCCCCTAAAGGCAAACTATTTTGCTTTTGGGAATAAATATTTCTTCTTTATTTACAGCTGTCCGGATCTCATTTTTATTTATTCTTGCACAGTCCCAGCTCCAGTTGGAACCCCGAATTATTCTTCTAACATATGGGTGGCTTGTGACTTGAGGGAACTTTTGCCATGTCACCCTTGAACAGGACTTACCATAAGAGGTTTACGTACACAGCAGGGCCTGGTGAATGATTAGGGGTAGTTGTACTGATAAATACATTGAACTCTCGATAATGTGCATGTGCCAGGTCTGGAACAAGACAACTGTCACCCAATGAACCCAGAGTCGGGCCAATCACTTCTGCAGGGCGCCAATAGCTTAGTTGTTCCATAGCTGGTCTTGGGCTCCAGTTGATTAATTGTTTCCCTATTCTGCCAAAGCACAGCTGATCATTGCCACCATCACAGAGCTGTTCCTGGGGTCCCATGGTAGGCTCATCAGCAAGGCTTACAGAGATCCAGGGAATGAACGAAGGCCCCAACCTGCTCTGTGCCTCCTTGCTCTGGCACTGTCCAGTTGGTCAGCAGCTGCTCCCAGATCTCATTCTGGCAGTTTTCCATGGAGGTCCCAAATCCTGGGGTTTCAGTTACCAAGCAACAACCTCCTGCTCTGCCAGCACTCAACTGATTACCACTGATCAGCTCTCAGCTGCATTTTTTATTCCCTTGTATTATGTTACTTGTCTTATTTATAGCAGGGCCCCATAACCCTTGGAAGGCCAAAAAATCATCTACCACAAGGCAGCACCCCATAAAGTAGTTTCAGTAGGCAAGAAAGAACTCACCCTCCATTTCTAGCAGTCAACTTCAGGTGCCTCACAACATGCATCCACTCCAGGAGTGGGTTTCAACTGGTTCGCAGCGGTCCCCGCGAACCGGTTGGTCAGTGAACCTGGAAGTAAGTAACTTCTGGGAATGCCGAAAAGCCCACCCGCCTGCCCGCGCTCCTTACTGGTCTTTGAAGGCTTCTGCGCTTCCACGCAGGTGCATGGCACATACAGCACCTGCACGATTCTCCGCGAGCAGCTGGAGCATTGCACAGGGGCTAAGACGCAAGCGTGAACTGCGCATGCGCATGAGGATGCCGCTGGCCCCATTCCAACCGTACCGGTTGGAATGGGATGAGCAACCCACCACTGATCCACTCCCAGCTACCATTGGACTGCCTATTGATTCTCCTAGATGAGAAGTGTCAAACTGGCAGCCCATGGGTCGGAAGCATCCGTACCAGTTGGAACGGGATGAGCAACCCACCACTGATCCACTCCCAGCTACCATTGGACTGCCTATTGATTCTCCTAGATGAGAAATGTCAAACTGGCAGCCCATGGGTCGGACGCATCATGTGCAGGCCAAGCCCATCCTGGCTCTGCAAAGGCAAAAAACATCACATATCACTATATGCCACGTGATGCAATCGAGTTTGACACCCAAGCCCTAGTATTGATAAATAGGGGAGAGGTCGCAGCTCCTCTATTGCAACGTCACTTGCATGGAAAAGAAAAGATGGAAAAAAGACAGTAGAGAATTTGGCAAATGGTAGGGAACTCTCTGCCTCTGAACAAAGTGAGAACAATTGAAAGACACAGATATATTGAAATTCGCTGATTTGTCTTTAAACATCTTTGCTAATTTTTCCGGTGACATGTGCCATCTATAAAACATTTTGTATAAGTTTTCTTTGTAAGCTGTTGACATGGTTAATTTATAGTTCCTTTCCCACAGTTGTTGCCACTTTTCTAACTCAAAATTCTTTGCCCAAGTTATCATTGTATCTTTAACCACTTCTTCTAACCTAGTTCTTAATAGGTAGCTATATAGTTTCTTAATTATTCATTCTTCCGTTCCCATAAGTATCTTATCCAACTCTGAACTTCCTAAGTTAAAACCATACTCCCCTTTATCTTTTTCATAT